TCAGCTCGGGCACTGCCGTGAAAGCTAAGCGCTGAGCACTGCCATAAACGTGGCATACTGTTAATCAAAGCAGCATATAAGTACAAAAATATGTCTCTTTCTGATATATGAGTCCATTGCCTTCGATTTTTCTTGAGTCACATGCTCTCTCGCCTGTGCCCCGCTTCAGAGTATGCAGGAGGGTCTTCCGATATGCTGCCACTCCGGAACATACATTGACTGTCCATATGGTAGAACCCCTCATCCCTCAGTGGTTCTAGAGCTGTACTGTGGTTAGTGACAGTATCTCGATGCCCGTTAGTGAATGCTGGTTGGGAGTCCGGGCGTTCAGGTTCGTTCGCTGAAACAACACGCGTGGGTATCTGGATCTCGCTCAGAGAAATTTTCACCCTTGGCTCCGGCTGGGGTCTGTATATGTTGTCGGGAGTGGATGAACTTGGTGCGAAACTTCGCCATGATTTTGACTGCGTGGAACTGACCACTTTGCTTCTCCGTACCAGTCTCCGTACCACGAATACTGCAATGAATAAACCGATTGCGAGAAGACAGCCTAAAACTACAGCTGCGATTGAGCCTGGGCTTGATTGTATTCCCATTGCGGATGATGATGCGTCAGAGGTGGCATTAAGCGTCGGTGATGCTGCGATCACGGTACTGGGCAAGCTAGGACCAGTTTCCCTGAAGTACGAGGCAAGGTGAGTGGTCTTGATTGGTTGAGCCACGGTTGACACAGACCGAATATCAGTTTCACTGTCGAAAGAAGTTGTTCCCGATATGAGGGTCGGCGAGAATGATAAGAGGCTGTCCATTGTGAGTCGATAAATTTCCTCGACTGCAGCTCGGCTTACCGCGATGAACTCCTTGAACTAGAGACCGAGTCCTCCGTACTAGTTAGAGGATATATTGGATGCTCGTCATCAAAAAAAGGTGAGCTGTCGGCGGCGTTAGTAGACCACTTCTTAACGTGCAGACCACATACGCACGGACTGTTCCCCGTGCTATCTTCAAGTACAGTGTATGGAATCTGATCAAGGTCATACCCAACGACGGATATTGGGCTGCGGCCTAAGAATTTAGTTCACTTGTGCCTTCTCGGAGGTTATGGTAACGTACCTTTGAGCCTGGAAGGCACATTCCATAGTGCCGAAACGAGTGTCTACAACGCTAGCCGTCCCTATCAAGCTAAATCCTTCACCGAAAGCTGTTTTCGCAAGAGCAAAACTCGTTGGGTCTTGCGAATTGCGAGACCAGGTCAAGGTTGCGCTCTGGCTTCGTGTAACCTGATGCGGCAGACCTGTTACAGTAAATGCATACGACGCAAAGCTAGAAAGGAATGTGAAAGCTCTATGAACGGTATTTAGTACAGCAAAGGAGCATTTAGCCTGGCCCTCACGTACATGATGAACGGATGAATGAGTTTCATCATAGCCCGCACGGCGATATCGAGAGAGAAGTCATGTAGATGTCTCGCTTTAAAGAGCAGTTTCCACATCTTCGAATCAATTGCCACCGCGATTTGGTGGGCATGGACACGCGGAGAGGCACGGAAGTAGCGAAAAGAAAGATGGATCGCAACATTGATCGATCGGGTTGCTATCTCACTTGGCTAGCTCCTTGCCATGTGCCTAAACGACACCGTAATCGCCGAATGTGTCAACATGATGGTTACCTACAGTGAGATTGGGCCCAAAACCTATCCAGAGGGTCAACTTGTGTACGGTGGTTCCCTGTCTAACAGGTATCGAAATTTTCGTAGTACTATGGTCGAATGATAAGTTCATTTCAATCTGGCTGGTTTGGTACTTTTTTCGACTTTTGGGGACAACGCTTGCTATCCAGCGGTATTCTCGTTCCCTCGGGCTCGTTGGGATGACTTCAAAGTTCGGATAGAAAATAGATAACCAGGGGTTCTAAAACTATGAATGGATTACCCAGCCTGAATCTCGGAGCCATGATACAAGGTTAAGACGCCGAAACCTCAGCTCACAATCTCGCGATGGTCGTAAGGATACTCACATCATCCCTTTCTTCGACCATAGTATTTGATCTTGAGGTGCGCCTGTGGCTCGTTCCCTGATACACCTATCTAATCATTAAGAGGGCATGTCATCTACTACCGGGTCATCTATTCTCAAGGTGTTGGTCAGAATCTGATGCTTTGTGAGTCATTCTCAATTCTTGATCAACAGTATGTCAAGAGGTTCAATGCCTTATAAAGCAAGTAGGTGTCTATGGTTATTGCCCAGAGTGTTGTGTTGATTGTCTTCAATATAACGAGTCCATTGTCTTCGGTTATCTCGTGTTATGCAACTATATCAACGTACTGCCCCCCCCTCTCCCCAAATCACATACTCTCCCGTCTATGTCCCGCCTCAGAGTATGTGGGCGGGACCTCCACTAGGCTCCTATTTCCTAATACGTTGTCGACCCCGAGCCGCAACCCACTATCCGTATGGTGGAATACTCTGTTCCTCGGTGCTCCACGTGAAGTTGAGCTAAGTAGATTCGTGACAGTGCCCGAAGATTGCTTGGCTGCCACTGGTGAGAAAATCGCTTGCGTGCGAGTGCCGGAAGGAAAGATACGCGTATCACGCTCAAAGTTCTCAATCGATGGACTTCCAATTCTTTGTCCCGCCACAAGCCGAGGTGTGATGTTCGGGTAGGATAATTGAGCCTCGTCCGCAAACTCTCGCGAGTGTTTTGTCTCGGTAGATCCTGCAACCGTTCCCTTCCGTTTGAACATCCAGAAGCTCAACCCCACGAGGAAAAGAGAAACGGCAAAAAGGATGCCCAAGACTATCGCTGCAATTGACCCCGAGTCCAGACGTCTCTCCGTAGAGGGTCCAACCTCACTGGAACGAAAGAGGTTGAGTAAAGATGTTAGTTTCTTCACTTCGTTCAGATCCCGATTCGATACTCACTAATTGACAGCGGTGGTTGCAGTTGGTAACACTGAGCCTGTATTGGAGCCTGGCGTCGGCATGGTCGAGGGTCTTCCGTGAATGCGTTAAAGAAGCGTAAGTCAAGCGGAAGATTTGGCTTACGGTAGTACAGTCCCCATCGAGTCAAATGCCGGAGAGATTGGGCGCTTATCGTCAAAGAAGGGCGTACTTTTGGGGTGTGATTACATTGAATTCAGGAGCGCAAATAAATACACGCACGGCCTAAGTCTTAGGTTGTCTTGAAGGATTCCAAGGATAGTGTATGGGACCTGATCAAGATCGTACGCAACGATAGATATTGGGCTGCACCGTGGAAGTTGAGTCTACTTGAGGGGTTTCAAATGCTAGCGGTAGCGTACTTGCGAGCTTGAAAGGCTACTACCATAGTTCCGAGCGTCTCTGTGTCCGAAGCACTCGCCATTCCTATTACGTTAAGTTCTCTACTGGCAGCGGTCTTTCCAAGAGCAAAACTAGTTGGATCATTCAAACTGCGAGACCAGGTAATCGTGGCAGTCTGACTTGTCGTGACCTGAGCCGGCAGGCCTAAAATGGTGAATGCAGACGCCCTGGAGCCGGCAAGAAGGGAAGGTATTCTGTGGGTGTAATTCAGTATAGTTCAAGGACCGCCAAATTGACTCGAACTCACATGAACGTGTGAACGAGTCTCATCGTGGGCTGCGCCACAAGATGAAGAGAGGTAGTGCCCTCAGCTTTCGAGAGCATTCCTTTATAAAGGGTTGACTGACTAGCCCTCGTTCTCCTTAAGCGAGTTTACAACAGCGTCTCGTGGGAAAGGGCACTCTGAAGATCACCACATGCAAAAATGTTCTGCGATCGTTCAATTCTTAGCCCCACCTCCTTAACTTCTGGTTGATGGGGCCGGTGCGAGCTCGCCTCACTTGATCAGATCAATTCATGCAGTTGCCTTTTACCCAAGCGCGAAGGTTATCGGCAACGAGCTCGAAATCCACGTTTTGCTACGGCGGTCAACGCCTGGGTCACTTCCGTGCGGTCAATAAACAAGAACATGCAAAAACCTTAAACGTACTATCTCGTTCCTTTTCAAACCGATTCTGTATCCTTTGTACAATTCTTCGAGCGATGCAGTCGCGTTCTTCCGGTTCTGTTGGGATCAATCGGAATGGCATGTGAGTCATCAGGTATTCTAAGCTACAAGCAAGATGTCTAGCTTTGATTCCGAAGTGTTGGTACTGAATTAGGACCTTGACACTCGAAATGACAATCTTGCGATGGTAGTGAAGATACTCGCACCATCAGTTTTAAGTATGACGGTCAGAACAAACATTGCATACTTAGTCTTAAGTGTGCCTGCGATTCTTCCCCTCCATTCGCCTTATTCGCCTCCATGAATGAGCATTATGTACCGATGTGTCATTAACGCCCAAGACCAGAATTTAGTGATCGCCGCCCCTCACTTGCAAGGGCCATTCTTCAATCTTTCGTTCATATGACATGCGGAAGGTAGTTTTGTATATGAAGAACCATCCGTACTCGCCTACTTCCATTCTCCTGGAATCTGATATAGCCTAATGACTCCGAAGTATGCTCGTTGGAGTTCGTCGACATGAGGACCATAGTCGACTTTCTGTAAATTTCGCTTCGCCCCGAACCATCACCATCAGGAGCGGAAATCTTAGATACCTATGTGAATCCGACCGCCCGGTTTCTGTATTCTTAATCAGAACAGTTTTCTGGTCGACATTTTGAACGTTGATCGTTGGGATGACATTCGGATGTTAACTGAAGAAAGGTGCCCGTTTTCAAATCAGGTCAATAAGCGAGTTACTCGGATGATGTCCTTGCGACTGTCCAGACTTGAACATGCCTACATCCGTTACACGGGGAACCTGCTGAGGCTGACGATACACCTTCTCGGCGGTGAGAAGAGGCCCACTCTTCCAGGGGGACTGAAACAAGGACAAGATGTATATCAACGGACAGCAGATGTTGAGGATGGCATCTCTTCTCTGAAATGGTGAGCCGTGTTCCCCACCTTGCGGATGAACCGCAACTGGTAATAATCTCAAAAAGTCGGATTTCCCTCTAGCCGACTTGAACGACTGACCTCTTCATGACAATATGCGAAGATACTAGTGAAGCGCTCTACCACTGAGCTAAGAGGGACCTGCTCAGATTGTAGATAACAACCATAATATTGTTATCATAGGCACAATCAGATTGCCGATATCCGCAGGAAGATATCGCTCTAGCCCTCATGAGGGCTGGTACGCCAGAAGCTCCAGATCCGTCAATGATCTGCATAACCGAAGTGTCGCGTGGCAGGCTGATAAACGCCCGCGGACAGAATGCCGACGGTCATATGCATCATGTTGAGTTCTGAATACTCGTCGTCGTCGAACGGCACAACGCGTCTCAGCGCCTCAGAACGATGTCTCCTCCGCTGCGAGCGACTCACCTCGACTTGTGGTCTGCTCAGTAAGCTTTACAACCCCACCCGAAAAGAAACGTACCAATACCACATCGATTACTCCCGTTCGTAGGCAGTTGAAGCGCAAAAAGTGTTCTCATTGATTGTTGTATTGATTGTGTGTATTACTTGGCCTTTCCAATTGATGTTTTGCTAGTATGAGAGGACGTGAGGATGGAATGTATCGAACCAGCGAGGGATGGGGGATGAGATCTATGAGATCTTGAGAGGCTAGGAGAGGGAAGGAAACGATGTAATATCTGTGATGTCACATGCCAGCCTGACAGCCTTCCCATCAGCCTACCACGCGACACTTTTTGGGGTTCCCCACCCCAATAGAATAATCCAGGTAGTACAGCGGTCTTCCTTTGTACCGTCCCGGGGTCGAAGGTGTATGTAACTGGTTGTAGTATGTACACTAGGATACACTCCGGAACCGGCGTTCAGTACGTGGACCATGCCGTGTAATAAACTCCTCCTCCTCCTCCTCCTCCTCCCTTTGTACGAACCTTGTGAAAGTTCTGCGAACAGGCGCGCGTGCCAAGACATTGTTCCGGATTACCATTCAATAATCCCCGGACGCCGGGCCAAGACCTTTGGACTATGGCTTCGGTCTATGTTAATGCTCGATGTACGATGGTGAGTTTCTCGTTTTGCATTGGTAGGCTCCTCGTGACGTTAGCCCTCTGACTATCAGTTGATAAATCCCAAATGAAACCTCTCACACAGCACCAAACCTTGACCGTGGCCGAAGTCTCGGCCCGTGGTTTCCTTGCTCTCTTTAGAATACAACAAGCACCAAATATGGCTTGTCGCCCGCTTGACCTGGAACCGCCACCATCTATAGCACCTGAGGTTTTCCCTTCATTTATATCCTAGTGGTTCCCCCTCGTTTCACTTAATATTCCACAGACCGGTCGTGCAACTACAATGACAAGACTCAAAAGGGATTCCTTGTACTCTCTTTCGCCACTTTTCTGACCCGAAGGACACCAAATGAAGTGTATACGAGATTCGAGGTCATACGATTCAAATTCGCGACACCAACAAAAAGAGGACATCATCCCCTTTAACTTATCACCTACTATCGAAACTGATGAATAACGTGTTGCGAATACATCATCGAGATCTACAAACCACGAACCTGGACCGAGGGGCGGGCGTGGCGTTCGCAGTCTGAAGCTCGGAGGTAGCAGAGGCGACACCACCGTTTCACGCTAGCGTATCCAGTGAATCTTGAGCTGGAGAATGGATCTCGGTGTTTACACTTCTCATGTTTGGGATGGCTCGGGACTTATTTCATGTCCGTTGGTCGTCCGAGGTTTACCACTCACCATATTCAAAATCACCATTAACCGATGCTCACATCCCCATGGGCGCTGTCTCTCGAAATAGAGAAGTATGCAAGTAGACTCGGAAGGTGACCGGGAATTTTTTACTCCCGATGACTAATCGCTGCACTGAGCTTGCCCTAGAGTACACGCCAGCCTGGGTGAAGATATCCTTTCCTTTATGGGCTGAAGAAAGCGACCGCAAGATATATTTCTTGAAATGGGATCAGTACCTTCGAGAACGCGTAGATTGATCGGTATACACAAACCGATCGAGTGAGGTGAGAGCTAAGCAGAACTAAGCCGTCAATCTCGGGAGCAGTGCATTTACTCCGCTCTAATCTCCTCAGCATTTAGACATCAGCAACGGGCGCGATCGTATGTGGATCCAGCATTAGGGAGTATAAAACACCTTTCCCTTTGCACAATGACGGTGAGTTATCTTGTCTCCTTGCTTTCCCAGGTCATTACAGTCATGGTCATTTTATGGTCAGCTCAGACGATATTCTACATCAATTGGTTGGGGGCTAACATGGAACATCTAGGACTTTATTACTCTTCGCTTCGACCACTTCCGCCTTCACAGTCACCGCACCCGACAGTCCATACGTCGATGAACAGTTTCTTCTAAACTGGACCTGGCTAACAAGCGAGTCAAAATTTATTGTTCTCGTCTTGAACGATGTGTCCAAAGCCCCGGACTGTCCGATCGATACATCAAAAAGAGAAGGATCTCTGGTCATTTTGAATCTAGAGAATAGGGCAGGATCGGTAGGTTTCCACATCGACCATCCTGGGTACGTTCCTCCCCGCT